TCAGCAGCACCTCTAAACTACTGTGGTGATGTCTTCAAGCAGCCTTAAAACACTCATTCACAACACCTTGTCACCCAGCATTTTGGGGGTGCTTTTGGTTTTTGGCTGCAGTTATTGTAAAATCGTAAAAAGAAGGCAGTAACTGTCTATATCAACAGGTACATTTCAAAGATGTTGACATCATCAGAAGGAATGAGTCTAGCTAAAGCCTTTTTAAATGAGGCTAAAACTCAGCTACATCCCCCATAGCAATCCACCCCACCTTGGTCTAATCCCTTAGGCATTGATTTTGGTGGTGGTGCGTTCCTGCCTGTCCATTCATACTCCATTGCAATCCCCATGTAGGCAGGCATTCCTTTGTCTCAACCAAAATCCCTTAAATATACCCTGATTTTCAGACATGGTCAAGTCATGACTTATGCACCATTGTATTGCTCAGCATACAAAGATCATGCAGAAAAGCAGAGAAGCAAAGCCTAAATAAAGGTCTGTCATTAAGGTAATCACCCAAGAGAGAAGAGATCTCCAATTTCCAGGCAAGGATTCTCAGACACGTACACATTACATCAAAACATCTTTGTTTAAAAATACCAGCAATCTTCAGAGCAAGGACCAAAGATTACTTCCTATGTTCTAGCAGAGTGCCCAGAATACTTTTTTATCATTATGATCTGGAGCAGTTTGTGGTTTTTTTTCTTTTTTAACATGTTCCCTTGGTAAGAAAGGAAATGTAAACTTTGAAAAGTTGTTCTGTTCCTTTGCCATTGACAGGATTATTTTAACAGTTAAAAAATAATAATGTAAGAAGAAATAGCTATATCACAGAATGATCAAGATAATGCTAAATGAAAAATATCCCGTTTCTGTATGGCAAAATGGCCATCTTATGACAAATCAGCATTGCCATTTCACTTGGGGTAAATCACTTTTTAAGAAAAATATAACATTGAAATATAGAATTATTTACTTTTAAATTATGAACTGTATATTTTGGCTTTAAATGAATGTACAATAGTCCCTTGCTGCCTTACAAATATATTTTTGTTTTTTCTTCAGTTTGTAACACATAAACTATAATACTTTGGAAATAACACTCTTCTTTTTTCTTACAGGTCTACAGTAAGAAGAATAGCAAGATACAATTCCATAGAGTTATAGCTTGAGTAGTTAAGCAGTTTGAGACCTTTCAGACTGTTTTATTTTCCCCTGAAATTGATTTTGTAATCAGGAATGTATTTGTTGTAATCTTGTTTATTTTTGAAAGATGTACATGAAATCCTATTTTCCTGAATATGGTGGAAAATAAGAAACAGGAGACACATCTTTCACCTGATAGCATTTTATTTTGAGTTCTCTGGTTTGGATTGCTCTCTGAACTTAATTTTCTTGCTGTTTCCTATGTTTTCCTTCTGTTGTACAGACATGCATACATAATAATTTCAACTCTGGTCATCTATTACCACTTGATTTGAACTTAGAACACAAGTCCTATGAGGAGCAGTTGAGGACTTTGGGTTTGTCTAGTTTGGAGGAAAGGAGGCTGAGGGGTGACCTCATTGCTCTCTACAGCTTCCTGAGGACAGGAAGTGGAGAGGGAGATACTGATCTCTTCTCCCTGGGACCCAGTGACAGGACAGAATGAAGTGATTCAAAGGTGCATCACAGGAGGTTCAAACTGGACTTTAAGAAGCGTTTCATTATAAGAAGGCGGTCAAACGCTGTAACAGGCTTCCTAGAGAGGTGGCCAATTTCTGGATCTCTCTCCCCTCCCATGATGTGGGGCAGCACCAGTCCTAGTTCCATTTCCATCTGAGGAACCATATCCGACGGCTTGAGGTGCATAGGAAAGGGGTTACTCCAGCTCCAGGGGTTTCTTCAGGGTCCTGGACGCATGGAGGGGTTAGGTGCTCACCCTTCCCCCCACCCACGCGGTCCCATGGCAGCCGGAGAGACAGCACACAGTGGAGAGGAGGCAAGAGAGAGAGTTTATTGATGAGGCAGTTACATATATAGGTCTTGGAGGATTCACAGAGTGACCAATTACGGGGTCAGGGGGCTTACAGGACACCCAATCGCAGGAAGGGGTTAAAAGGTCCAATGAGAAGACTTCTTGATATCTTCTCAGGACATTCCTAAGACAGAGATAAGAACTGGCCGTGGGGGTTTTTGGGAAGAAGAAAGCACGAGCCAGCAAAGGGACCACAAAAAGCCATTTTGAAACACACTCAAACCACAGCTTCCCATACAAGGCAGATTCACTGCTACAGCCAATGCCCCAAGCCTGTCAGTGCTCAAGAGGTATTTGGACAGTCCTCTTAACAACCTGATTTTACTTTTCATCAGTTCTGAATTGGTCAGTCAGCTAGACTAGATGATTGGTTTAGGTCCCTTCCAACTGAAATATTCTATTCCAAGGTTCCATTGCTTTCTGCCATTAGTAAAACAATCAGAAATTAAACTATTTCCTTGGTCAGATTAAGTGAAATAGCTGGCCTTGCTAAGCACATCAGCTTTCTAAAATCGGTGGTCCTGTATCAGCTAAAGAGCTAACAATTATAAGCCATTCAGCTTCCTGCATAAGAGCTGAACTGTGACAAAACATTTAATTTAAGCTTTTCTGTTGAAATATTTGCCTCCCTTGCAAAGATTCAGACTTGAGTGTGTACAATGCAGATTAATAATATCATAGTTATGTCATGCCAAGTTTCAGAAAGAAAAGACTCTCACAGGCAAAAATGAATTATTAAACCCGAAATAAAAAGAGATGGGAGTGCTCTAACACAAAAATAAGAACCTTTTTGAAGAAGCTCAGCTACAAACTATAACTTTATTTTTAGCATTATGTTGAACCTTTTGGCTTTGGTTTATAACAATTGATGAACCACTGTCAAAAATATAGAAAAACTGTTTTTTTCCCAAAAAATCTTATAAAAAGCCACAGGCAATTTCAAAAGTATAAACCCCAACTGTTTTAATAAAAATATCTTGCCAGATTTTCAGTTGCCAGATTTGTTTAATGCCATTCTGAAACTGGATAAAAGTTTGATGAAGTTCATCATTCATTCAAGATAAATGAAGTTTATCTTCATTCAAGATAAAATTCAAAATCTATCAAGCACGTTATAGATCTTATAGCTGAAATAATTAGGTGTCACGAGGAAAAACACAGGTCAGTTAAGAATCTGAGTTTTATGGATCAGATGTGCTCATAACCTTTACAGGCGCAATCCACTTGCCTGAACATTCTATGTGCATCAGATCCATTAGAATCACTTGCAGCTACTGTAAATATTTTTGGAAGGTTTAAAGCTACTTAATATAGATGTTGTTGGAATGTCAATACCATTTGTGGTATTTCTTGTGTTATCGTGATGCAGCTTATATTAGTTCCAAAGTTCAACCACACTACCTCTTACATATTGATTCCCAAATCTAAGAGCACTGTTTAAATTTGTCACTATCTGATGTCTGGAATTGTCAGAATGCCAGGTGAAGGCTGAGCTTTCTTTACCTGCTAGGAGAGATTGTCTTTGCTGCTTGACCATTCATTTCTTTTCATAAGTGATAGTGCCTCATGAAATCCATGCAATGGCCCTTGCAGAATTATCAGTATTATCCTCCCCTTCCTGTTTTTCAGAGTATGCAGCAATAATGTTGCCTCCCTGAGCATGTGGCAATGTATATCTGCTATAGTTATATTCTACAAAAGAGAAGACAATTTTAAATTTGTAAGCTATCTGCCAGGTTGTAGAATTTAATTTGCAAGACCAAACTTCTGCAATATTGTGTTTATGTTGCAGTGCCATTTACTGTTTAATAGAAACATTCAGAATGCCCTAGTTCCATCTGTTGTAAATAGTGAAGTCTGATAAACACTCTGCAAACACAAGATGCAGCTTTCTGGCAAATTATGTTTAGTACAGGCCCCAAATATAAAGCAAGATTTATATTTTTTGCATCACTTTTTTTTTTATTTACTCTACAGTAATTACTCTAGAACTTTGAGTAGATATATAAATAACTCTCAAAGTTTTACATTAAAATATTGTGTGAGAAGTCAGGGACAAGTATACACGCATACACATTTCACACCTTCAGCAGTACTGCAAGTTACAAATCTTGTTATGGCTGCAGAATCTTTGATATAACTACTTGCAAATATATTTGTAATCAGATAAATAGAGTTGAAAGGCAAGCCCACACACTATTATACGCTGTATAAACAAAAATCTCGATTTTCGCTTAAGAAAATAGAGATGAACCAGATGAGTATGAATGGACTTGCGAAGTGCTCTGAGATGAATAGCCAAAGATGAAGTTACTGCTGTTCTCTGCTCACAGGAGACAGGAAGAAATTGTGTAGCAACAGAGCGAGTGAGTCATTGAACAAGACTGTTATAAAGTGTGGGTGAACAGTTGTAGCAAAAGAAGGTTCCTGCTAATGCTGTTTGAGTGTCATCACTGTGTCACCTGCCAAGACTGAAAACCAAATCATTCTATACAGTTAAAAAAAAAACAAACTTGCAATCTGAAACACCTGACAGAGTCCACAGAAACATTTGAAAAGACAGAGTTTAAGTAAGTTTATGTCTTCTTTTGCTCAAGCTAGATGCCACCAGGTGACTCAAGCATCCACTCAAAAGTGGAAGAAAGATATTTTTGTTTGTTTTGTGTTTGAAGCCGATTTATTTCAAAGAAATCAACTTGACAAACCTCACTGAAGTCACTGCAGACAGTCATTAAAGCTAGTGGATATTTCCTCCACTGCAAAAGATATTCGTTTATTTTTCCAGTTGAGTTGCCTAACTTTGACTTAGCTGTACCCTCTCTGTGACATATTCACAGCACTTAAAATTTCCTGGCTGTGTGAGCAAATGATGCTGTAGACTAGATTTTTTGAAAATACTTGCTTTTGGAAAGAGAAGGAATAAAAAGTTGAGATTAGTTGTACATCTCCTCAATTATACTTGATCTTGGAGTAATTAGCAGGACACATATTCTTTAAGCCAAAAGCTATATTTCAGAAAACAGCTGCTTCCCAGTCTCTCACCTCTGTGCAAGCCACTTCTTCATATAAACAGCATTAGCTGAGCAGCCAACAGTGCACATTCATTCATGGTTTCATCTTCTCCCCAATGTTGTAAGTATTGACTTCTCATGTCAATACAGGGACATGACTTTGATGTGAGCCTCAAACTGTAGAGGAAAACAGAAAGGAAGATGTATATATTTACAACACACTGGCCAATGTAGCTGTATTTTAATCCACTAACATGTTTATTTCTCACTTTTTGCTGCAATAGAGTATGTTTGATTTCTGCAAAAAAAGTGCCGCATTTTAGGTATATCAAGTCAGAACATATAAGTAGAAAGTGACCTTAATCTGGAATACAGAAAAGCATCAAGTAAAAAGATTCTGTCAGAAAGAGAGAAACTTACAGAAAAGGCAGGTCCCTTATCCTTCTGGCCATTATTTCTTTAAATTCTGAAATTTTTAAATGTGCACTGTTCTCATTCTTTGTTTGTGACCTTTTTCAAAAGGACAGGCATTTTCTTATCTTTTTCTTCCTGGAGTCAAGTTAATTTAATTTACTGATCATATCAAAGGCCTAATTCCTATGTACGTGTCTTTCACTGGATTAGTTTAGCTGGGTGTAAGAGACTGTTAAGTAAAGATAATATAATGATTCGTGTGAACACAACAGGTACAAACAAAGTTGTTAACGGTATTATATACCTTGCATTGCTTATCGTGTCTGATAAGCAAGCTCAATAACATTTAGCTTTGGCACAGAATGTAGCTTCATCAAGAATGTGACTCTTTGGACCAATTTTTAGATATACTGAAAGCAAAAAAGAAGGCTCCCAATTCAGAAATTGGTTTTGCCCAGGGTTCCAGTACCTCTCAATCATTTGCCCTCCACATGCCTTGGGGAAAAGTCAGTGTTTTATGCAGGAGCTACTGGAAATTATGATGTGGTCTAGTAAGAGGAACTAAAACTTGTCTATTGTGTAGAACTGGAATTTATGCTAGTTTATCATAACAGGTTGTGGTGTTGAGTGAAGTAGTTTAGTTTATGCAGGAGAGACAGGGATGTTCAAGAGAAGCATGATGGATGGAAGAGGTGGACATTCAGCTCTTGTCTGCTGAGTAGCCTTTTGTTTGTATGAATCAGCACCCTCATAAAAATCCCTGCTCCTGTCAGGTACCAGGTAAGATCTGTGGAGAAAGATCTGTACATTGAGCCTAAATTACAGCATCACTTCACTTATACCACTGAATTAGGCCAGCAGAACTAATTAATTAGTCATAGAGTCAAAGTCATTTAGACTGGAAGAAACCTTTCTCTGTAAGGGATCTGGTCTAATCCACCATTCAGAGTAGGTCTGTCAGGTTACTCAGGTCGCCCAGTCAAGCTTTGAGTATTTCTAAGGGTGGAGGTTCCTCAGGGTAGAGAGACCTGTAGCTACTTACCCTCCATAGGACTAATTTTATTTTCTCTTAATATTTTACCAGAATTTCCTTTGTAGCAGTTTGTGATCACTCCATCTCCTGCCTTCACTCTGCATCTTCAAGGAGAGTCCAGCTTCATCTTCCCAAGACCCCCCAATAGGCATTTGTAGACAGCAACTCCCCCAGCCTTCTCCAGGCTAAACAAACTCAGTTCTTGTAAGCTTCTCCTCATAAGTCATGTACTTCAGGTTTTAATCACTCAGAGTAAATAAACATTTTATCTAAACTTGTACATCAAACATTCTAAAGTGTTCTGCTCTTGAAATTCAAGTTCTAGACATATAGCAAACTTATCTTTGTGTTCAGGAGACAGAGGAGCCAAAACAAATTACAAGATCTATCCTAGATGCATGTAAATTGGCAGGATAACCTAATATCTAAAGTGTCTGAACTAATTGCTGTGATCCTTAGATAAATTAACAAAGATGTATTTGTAGGCTTATATATGGCATTATTGCAGAGATGAACAAGGAGCAACATTATTTTCTTCTGTCTGGTCTTTAAAAATACTAGCAGCTTTCTTTGGAATCTTTTTTAATTTGGTAAGGTTTGGAAACCACACCTAAAAGTCAGAAGCAATTAATGACTTTCATTTATTAAATTTCGCCAACAGGAAAGCCAGTGGTTATTTGACCATAGTCTGTCAGTTTGTACACTGGGATGAGACTTAGATCAGAGAACTGTGAAATCAATATAAGGCAACATATAAAGTTCTGTAGTTAGAAGACAAACATATCAATTCAAGCTAAAATAATATGCATCATTTTAGCATGATGGCAATTTACAGTCAAAACAACTTACCTTGTTGTAGTAATAATTAAGGAATTTATCACTATGTGAAGCCATTAAATTATGATTGTGTGACTTTCTAAGATACATTCTCCAGCCCAGTCAGAAATTATAGGTCAGGAATTACTGGGTGAAGTATTGTGAAAGTTCAGAGTAGTTACTTCAGTTTTTAAATCTGTGGATGTATAAAGCAGAACCAGAGTGATGTGCTACAAAGTTAATCCCCAATGGCTGCCTGGACTGGAAGAAACACCTCACTTCTACATCAGATGCTGCCATCCTCTCAATTTTTCAAATTTCTAATCACCTGCATTAATTATTACAACATCTGTGCCAAAAGAGTGGATTAGAGTCTCTAATAACTTTCAGGTCCCTTGAACTTACATTATATTTCTTGAATCTACTGTGTTTGAAAGTCTACAAAACAAATAAAATCCAAGAAAACATTATGCATATAACTTCAGAAAAGAACAGTGTTCCAAATCTAGGAAATAATTTGACTCTCGCCTTTTGGCTACCCACGGAAGCAGAGAAACATTTAGATCACCCATGGAAAGCTCTTAGGACAATTATGAACTAAAATCTCTGCACTTCATCTTTCTGTGATGTTCCTAGTCAGAAAAGCATTAGGTTTCAATATTCCATGATTTCCTCTAAAAAGCCCTCTCTTCCTCACTGGGACTCCTCCCGCTTTGCAGGACTGGGCTCTTTGCCCTGGAGCTATTCCGTCACTTCTGGAGTAGCATACCACGTGTATCCCTTAGCCTCCTAACACAACAGGTTGCAGTAAATCTTCAATTTAATATCCTGAAACCTTTTATTTATGAGGCATAGAAATAAGCTTTCCTTCAGTAAGTGATCCTTCCTCAGCTTTCCAAAAGCACAACCTAACTTGAAAGCCTAAAATAAATTGCATATATGTTCTATAGAAATCCTCTAAACAAATAAAATGGAGAGACATTTTATTGCAGTAATAATTTCTTACTTGCAAGTGTTTCAGAAGACTCCCACAGCAGCAGGTGTTAAGGAAGCATCCATCTGTTCTTGTTGCTCTGCACAGAAGTATATTGAATAGATAAGAGCTTCTAAATGTTCAGGGTTGTCATTAAAATGGGTTAGCTGTGATCGTCACTTAAGGCATTCCTGATATTGAAATTAAAATGAAGACCATCTCTGGTTCTGTTGCAATTTGAGAATGCGATCAATGGTTCCCTGAAGAAACATCCTGTCAACTGGGTACTTTTTAAATTATCTTCTGAAAAGCACTTCAGTATTCCTGCGACTGAACTGGAAATGCTGTATCAGCAACATTACTGTTCTCTGAAAATATGGATCAAACCCCAGCTGTTGCAGATATGTTAATTGATGAATTAAGTTAAGAGATCTGAAGCCTTTATACTGCACTTGAAACTTATGTTTCTATTTAAATATTGAAGGCTTTTCAGCTTTCTCCTCCAATGCGAAAAATTACTTGAGTCACTTCTAAGGCAGGCTTCAGAGTCTATAAACTTGAATGCTACAGTATAAAGACCAGAGGACTGGAGCTTCATCAATGCAGCAGTGAAATCAGCATGAGAAAGCTGTGAAAAACAACACATCAGTTTTTTCAGAGGTGAGACAGAAAATATATAGGGCAATAGTATGAATGAAACTACAAAACAGCTATAAACTTCTACACACTCTGAGGTGTTCTCATACCTTAGGTATTTATATTTAAGCTACTATGTGGTCACATATTCAGATCAGAAAATGGATTTTGGCAAGGAGTGTGAAAGTGTTAAGAATGAAAACTGACTCTTTGCTCTTTTAGCATTGTACCCCACTCAACAGGAGGAAGCAAAGGAAGGTTTTTGCATGTAGCATATATAACACTTATAATATCTTTATAATTAAAGCTAAAATAATACCAACTGAGGTATTAAGGCTTTGTATTAGTTTGTGATTTGCAAAGTCTGGTAGCTTCCATCTAAGAAAATGCTAGCAGTACCTTGTTTGCCAAAGTCAGATCTGTTCATTATGTTTTCACATTCTATATTCCTATGGTACTTTCTCCTCTCATGAAGGCACTTTGCTTTCAGTCCTATGGAACACTTTGCTATTTGTATGTGAATAACTTGGTCTGGATACCTGGTAGCCAAATATTCTCATACCATAATGGAGCAGTTCTGATATTGCCAACCACAACTGTTTACAGCTGAATCTATCAGCAAAACTTCAGGATCTCAGTTTTGAAACCCTCAGTTAAAAAATAATAATACAGAGCTTTGCATTTCCCAAAGAATCCTCTCAAATAAGCAAAAGCAGCCCCAGACGGCAGCCAGCTGGTATGGGATCTTTCCAGATTTAAAGTCCAACCTTAAATGCAGTTATAAACATAAACCTCAGATTGGAATTTTGCAGTTTATGGAATACTTGATTTTTTGTCTTTAGTTGTTGACTTTACAGAGAGTTTTAGAACTACAAAAATGTGAGTAAACTGGTTTTGGGTTTTTTTTCAGAAAATAATTTTTTAGCAATTTTTTTGTTGATGAGTGGTAAAATTTTGAGAACAACATTTTTACTCAGGAAAAAAACCACCAACAAACAAAAAAATAATCCACCCTACCATGATCTGAACAACAGAGCATGTAATACACTAATTTGTTTGATAGAAAGTTATAGATTGTGTGCTAGAATTGTTTTGGCGCTGGGCATTTTGCTAAGCCACCTGCCAGGTTAAGCCACTCTAATCATGTAACCATGGTAATACTGCTGGCGTCAGCATGAAAGACTGATTTGTGCAGCCAGTAAGGACTGGGCACCTTAATGCATTAACTGGAGCTGTTAGGAAATGTTTGGAAATAAATATGTAAAATAGGTATAAAGGTTCTTTTAGATTGCTTAGTGTTTTGCTTCAGGCAATATTTGTTAACAGCAGGCCACCCTGTTTATCGGGCTAAGTGAACATGGTTGTGAGCATTGAAATAGATAAAAAACTGCTAGTAAATAACTGTTGGTTGAATCTGCTCTGCTGCTTTGCTTCTTGTGCTTTGATGAGAAAGAACTGTTTCATTTTTAGCAGTGTTAGCCTATGTTTGTGTTCTGTTAAAATAAACCTGCAACTTACAGCAGTAATTGCAGGAAATCTGAAAATAAGACAAACCCAACAAAATTTGAAAGTTTTAATTAGGCTGTATAGAAATGGTCAGTGAGTTGGTCCAAGTGTTGATATCATATATTATACCTCTTCTTCCTACCCCTCTGTTGTTTTTCAAATGTTTTTCCCAGACACACATTTCCTGTCCCTCTCACATTTGCCTTTCATATGCCCCTCAGTTATGTGTTTTTCTCACACCTTTAATTTGCAGCTACACTGCTCCTCAAGTAATGGGTTTGTTTTTTTCCAGAGAGGCAATGATCTGATGATATACTGTCGCCAGCATCAGTACTGACTTAATTAATTTCTACCCCTATGTCAACACAAGCAGTGCGGACTGTAATGGGAATCAGACCAGAAAAGAGATCCACTTTAAAGTAAAAACCTCAGCACTTCTTCTCTCCAACTTCCCTTTTTTCAGCCAGGTGCCCAATTCACACAGTAGCCCCACAAGCATAAGCATATGTAAACATAATTAAAGAAACGCCTCGGTGAATTTTATAGAGGGTGGAAGAGAGTACTGTTTATTTCTGAATTTGTGGCCAGATGAGGGAAGAAGATAAACTTATAAAATCTGTATTTACCCTCCAAAGCAAAAAGCTATTTGCTTGAGAAGAAAAAAGGGAGTCCTTAATGACCTCTCTGTACGTTTTTATGTTGTGCCTGCTTTGGTTTGCTTACTAGCGACATTACTTGACATATTACTTTCATGATAAGAGATTATTTTCATTCATCACATCTTATTTTAGTGGTCTGAGTTCCAGTTGACACAGATAGTCCAAATTGCTGCACTATGCTGTGGCCCAGTTATTGCCAACTTTTCTTTATTCTCTCAATTTTCTTTGGTCTTCCTCCAGAACATTTTCTTTAGCTCTCTCATTCCTCTCTTTTTTCTGTTTTTGGTCATTTTTCACGGTGAGTGCCAATTCTCAGCAGTTCACTAATTTGCCAAACAGCACTGTGCTTTCTAGAGTGTGTTTGTGTCCCCCAGATTGTCAACTGCTGGATTCTGTATAGAATAGTTGCTGCATTAGCAGATATATTTGCTTCTGTGCCGAATCAGGGCTTTTTACAGGCTGTGGAAAAAATGAACTTATGATTTCATACTGAAATAAGGGAATTAAAACTTTTAAACAACTGTTGCAACAGGAGCCCACTTGAAAATGTGGGGTTATGCATCTTTTTCAGTCTCTGAAGCTCTTCCTTTTGCTTTTATGCCCTGTTGCTGTGTGGTCTCCATTTGAACTGTCTTAGGCAGTCAGGATAAATATCCAAGTCAAGGAAGTTCCAAGTGTATACTTGCAAATAATGAGAAGATGCTCAGGGCTCTAGCATTTCTGTTTCTTTTCATTCTTTGCATTTGAGAACAGCAGAATTTAACCTAGAAGCTAGCTGAAATATAGTTGGAAAAAGAATATGTTGTTTTCAATAACTTGAAATATCTAAGGCTGCTTTAAGTAATTCCCTTCATAATTCTGCAGTTACTCAGAAAATAGGGCCCAATTCTCTCTTGAAAAATTAAAAACCTACTATGAAGATCAGATGATTCTTTCACATTCTTTTGGTTTCTTGTATTTTACTAACAGGCAGGAAAGAAGGAGCACAGAGAAGAGAATAATAACTAAAATCAACAGAGACAGAAGAGATACATAAATAAAAGCAGACTCAGAAGAGAAAGGAATCATTCATAAGTGAAGGTCAGCAAACAGCATGCCCAGTTATTGCACTTGATTGTTAGAAGTGTTGATTTTGATGCTTCCTGAAAGTTAAGAAATTTAATTATTTTTCCAAACTGCGCTGCTTTGGGTCTGCAGACTACAGGGAAAGAGCAGTGGTAGGCAAAAGCTGCCACATCTGAATTTTTCACTGCCAGGAAATAGCACAGAAGCATTCTTGCCTGTTTAGTGTGTATTAAATCATGGATAGAAAGTCAACTGCTTATCTGGAGTCTGGCATAGATTTCCAATAACTCGCTTTTCCTCAAGCACAAACATACAACAACACTTGAGAAAAACCAGAGAGTGAATCTTTTATAATCCAAAAGTAATCTTGTTAGATTTCCATGAGGAAACAGTAATTATTTATTCAGTCATTTTTTCTCACCTTGCAATTAAGTCAAGTGCTGACACAGATTGCCAGATCATTTATGCCTCAAACTGTTCAATAGAGATGATGTCTTCTGGTATTGAGGATTAAAAAAATGAAAACTTTATGGCTTTTAATAGTAACAATAGCAAACCTAATATAGAGTTACTACACAGCCACGTATATTGCTGTGTAATAGGTAGCCACTGTTTTGCTTCACAGCTGTGCTCCCCAAACTAATCTATGTTTATAGTTAAGGTCATATTCTGTTTGTGTACTATGCAGGATGATGGTATTTATGCCTGTATGGCTCTGACAAGTCAATCTACAGGCTTCCATCACCTTATTGTTTTGGCTGTTGCTGTCCTACTCTAGAGAATTTGGCCTAGTTTTAACAGGGATGTCCATGTGGCTGGATAGGCAACCATAAGGTGTTCCATCCATGTAAAATCCATGTATTTTACATCACGCTGAAAGTTGACACTGTGTGAGGTGTCTTCTTGTGTGACACTTACTCCACAAGGTCTTTAGCACATATGTGAAGGCCCTAAAAGTGCTTTCCCTAACTCGTCTGTCCATATATTTCAACATGCAGTCCTTCATGAGCAGTTCTGTCCAGCAGTGTTCATTAGTATCGACCTTTATTTCACCGAGACAAGCTATGACAAATTCAACTTGAAAGCCAGGGGAAGCATGAGAGAAGAAGTCTGCAGAGAGGACCAGGCATACCCTACCTGGTCTCCTTCTATTTGAGGGCAGTGTTGCTGTCTTGTGACAGCAAGTCACTGAGTGACTGTACGCCTGGCAGCTGGCCTTCAGTAGAGTCTTCACCGTTACTGAGTTTTGTTTAGTTGCATCATGTGTATTAGTTTCAGACACCAAGTGACTGCCAAAGGGACACTAACTTCTTTGTGTAACATACCACATTCATAGCCTTGGGATAGGAGCTCTCAGAAAGCAGCAAGCATAGGTGGTCCCACAAGGGAAGGAAACCAGGAGCTGAGGGCAATAGCAAGGCAGGTAGGGCAATGATCTCACTAGGTGGGCACAATGCCACAGTATCTGAGCAGGTACCATGCTAGTGAGCAGTGTCAGCCAGCATTCAAGACTACAAGACGTCTGCAGTGATGAAGCAGGTGCAAGGTCAAGCCAGCAAGTCAAATCAGTGGTTCAGGATCAGCAAGGCACATGGACAGGCACAGGCATACCTTAGGCAAGTCTCAAGGATAGAGGCCTGAGTTCAGTGCAGCTCCCAAGCAAAGCAGGAGGCCCTCAAGAGGCTTCCCATAGCTCCCTCTCACACAGCTCTGTCCCCAGCAGCCTGATCCAAGGCTACAGCTGCACAATATCAGAGCTGCAATGGAGCATGGGCAGCCAAACTCCAAGGCAGGGGGAAGAGGCTGCAGAGCCTCTTGCACTCAGAGCCCTGACAGCAGCATGCTTATTTCCAGATTTCCATCCAGTCCAGAAGGTATCAGTCTCTTAAAAGTAATCTTGTTAGAGGCAAGAGACAGCTGTTCAGGGCTGGAATGTTTACTGCAGCCCAGTAAAGTCTGCAAAGCCATATGCTGTTTGATCCTCTGTTCCCTGGCTGTTTACCAATTCAGTGTCCAGAGGACCAGTAGTTTGAGTTGTGCCAGAATCACTGACAAACACAAGCCCTTCTGCTGGCCCATGAGGGAAAGCAGAAGCGTCATGATTATATGAGATTACATTCTGCAGTACTTAGTGATCCATCGTACCCTTGTGATCATCACAGTGTTCATCTGCACTTTCAGGTCTGAACTGCTGACATTTTGATAAGCACCCTTGCACAGACCTGACAACAGCATCATCATGCCATATATGAATGTCCCCATCCTGACAACTACTGTGCCTCAGTGAGTGTCCTGACAGCACTGATGCTGGTTTTTTGACTGACATGATGCCAGTGTATACCTTTAAGATCACGGTGGCCTGTCATACTCTTAGTGATTTGCAGGAGAAAGTGGGGAGTGTGGTCAAACTGGAGGGTTCCAGACGCATCAGTTAGAGCAGCCTGACAAAAATGTTAGCCTTGGCCTTAGCAGAAATTATCTGTCCTTGCAACACCACCTTAAATACAGTCTGTGGCTATAAGTGGTGGTATTATGTCGAAGACTTCATAATCCTTTACAATTTCCAGGCTTGAAAATGTGTCTCCTGTTTGTCTCTTTCCTTCATGTTGCTCCTTTTCAAGCCTCTCTCCTTCTCCCCCAATGAAAAAAAACCATTACTTCTGTAATTTTTCCTTCTTCTCTTTACCCTATGAAAAGCCAATTTCTTCTCCAGCTGCCATAACAGATAACAGCCACTTGATTGCCATGAGACCCAACAGGCCAGGCCTGGTCCCCGCCACGAGCAACCATCAGTGTGAAATGCTTGTCTACAATTTAGGGAAGTTCATGACAGAAGAAGGATGAGAAGAAAGACTGAGTGCTGACTGCTGTCCTCCCCCTTCAGATAAAACATTCACAATATTTTGGCTGAAATACAACAATACATGTAGTAAAGGTGATCCTTCTGACTGCAGTCAAATCAGTTTATGACCCAGCCCATCATGGGATGCTGAGAGAGCCATTTTTGTTGAAACCCCAGCACACTGCTAGAAATACAGTGACCAGAAGGGAAGGCTCTTTACCTTCAGTGCCCAGTTACTTTCAGTTACAGATCCAGGCTAGGGATCACCTGCTTTTCCATTCGATAAAACAACCTCTTACCTTCAGATAATGTAATGGAGAAAGATGAAAATAAAAATTGAGACGAAACCAGCATTTCTGGCGTTGTGGGGACCTCTCGTTGAATTTGGTGTGCAGGGTCTCAATCCCACTGTTGTTGGTTTCAGCACACCAGGTTGGGGTGAATGATGCCATAACTCACAATGATCATTGCAGCTTCCTGCTCTTGCCCTTTGCTGGCAGGTGCAGTCAACAGTTTTAGCTCCCTGGTTTTGAGCTCACTGCTGAACCAAGAGGATTGGGCCTGGAATTGGCAAGAGATAAAGGTAACAAGGATGAATCAATCCACAGGTTGTGGATTTGAAGGCTGCTTCAAAAACTGGCTTTTGCTGTCTTGCCTTGTGTGCTAGTTCTATCTGTTCTTTGTCTCACCAGTGCCCTAAGAGGGGTGCTTGAGTAGACCAAACCTTTCAGGTACTTACAATTACAGAGCATTGTGAAATAACCTCTTTGTCATAGATTAAGTTGTCCCACGTCACATGGGCAGTAGTCCAGAAGAACTGCATTTTAGGCAATTTGGACACAGGGAGTCCATGTGAATTTTGTGAACAGTGATGCACTGATTCATCTTGAGTAACATTTGTCAGAGAAAGCTATGGAGGCACTGAACCCCTTACAAGTGTGTGGGAGTTTAAGCTGGTCCCTGTATAGCCCCAGGTACTCTGATGCTCTTTAACTTCAGCAATGTTATTTATTCTAAAGGTGATTGATATAGAGAATATGCTCTAAGAGTGTTTTATTGTGAATAGTTGGCACAGAGGGTCTTATCCCTCCAATTTGTGGTTCTCTGACTGCCTGGCAGGCATTCTATCACCTTCTGTTTTACCGTGGAGCTAATTGTTCACCTTCCTGCAGCACAGCTGACAGCTGCTAGAAACAGCCAAGATCAGGCAGTGCCCTCCTTGGGCAGAGAAACACTAATGGGGACCTCTCATGTACAAAAGGATGTACATGTGTGTGTACAAATAATGAATTTGTTAGAACAGATGGCTGCAGACCTCTAAGAAGGACAGCACCTATGTTTTTTTATAGATGGTGATCTGCCCCGTGAGGTGCAACAGCTAGCCATTTGCTGGCATAAATTGCTGGTATAATTGCCTGGTGATTTCAATGAAGATTTAAGTAAGCAAAAGCCTCCATGTCTTAAACTAACATGAGGTAATGTATAAAGTCTGTAATTCTCATTATCTTCTCCTAGGTCATACTCCATCCCTTACTAATTGGCTCTCTGGGCACCCCATTTTGAGTTACAATAATGTTTACAACCTTTCCTTGATAATCTATGATGCTGACAGGTCAGACTACAAATGCAAGCTACTTTTACTCCCATTTCTTTTGCATAATAAGTGTCTGAACTGGAACTACACTCTCACCTACCTGTTAGTGCTTTCCCATGTCAGTATCTGCTACTGTTAAGTGTGGAAAAAGGGTGTGACTTGGCCACTAATATTTCAGTGTGACTCTTCTGCTTAACTTCAGGGTATGCCTCATGACTCATTTAGGTGTTTCCTCGGTACAGACATAAGTAGGTCTATTTCCAGGCTCTTACGTTAGCTAGTTGTCCTAGATATTATTCCTTTGGAAGCTCATATTCACCCACAGCCTTGTCATGACTTAGGACTGCACAACCTCTGAAAATCCAAACACATGGCATGGTTACTCACTCCATAAAGTATATAGAAGGTCGGGTTGGCTCACTTTACCAAACTCTAAGTAGATGGCTCCAGTGATTGCTCTCTATGAACTGACATCAAAATGCAGTGTTGCACTTTCCCAATTAATAACGCTCCCTCTGCTAATTTATTTTTTAATGACCACCATGACAATTAAAACTTCCCTGATTGCAATATTGTTTTGACATTTTGCTAGCAGAGATCACATATCTCAGTCTTTTATTTTAAGTTGAATTTTTTATTTTTTTTCTTTTTATTTTAGGGCTAGAGTACACCTTTCTGTTAAGGCTCCTGATCAGGAAAGCTTCAGTGGTATGTGTAATGTTAGACATTGTTCAGTTGGGTCTGAATGATATGGGTTTTGTTTCCTTCTTCTTTGTCAAGCTTTTTATAACTATCAACTTAAGATATATGTGTCTTTAAAACAGCAGCCATACAGGATACCATATGCACTGGTGACAAAATCTTTGTCCCAGAGTATATAGATACAAAAGAGAATAACAGGAATGAGCAGCCCAGAGTGTTGTATGTAACAATCTGAGTGCCTTGTACTCACTATAGCAAAGCGAGGTTTTCAGATGGATCAAAAAAAAAAACAAAACCGCCCTACCAACCTGCAAGCTTTGACTTGAAGATGCTGCATGAAAATTGAAACATCCCAAGGGTGAGAATGGCCCATGAGGAAAACTCCATCTTTAACAGACAAACCCAATAGGCACAGGCTTCCACATAGAATCATTAAGGTTAGAAAAGACCACTAAGGTTGAGTCCAACCATTACCTTAGCACTGACAAGTCCAGCACTAAGCCATGTCCCTAAATACCACATCTACACGAGGTGGAATTTTTGAATTATTCCAGGGACAGTGATTCCACCACTTCCCTTAGCAGCCTGTTCCAATGCTCCATCCTTTCTGAAAATAAATTTTTCCTCGTATCCAATCTCAACCTCCTCTGGCACAACTTGAGGCCATTTCCTCCTGTCCTGTCACTTGGGAGAAGAGACCGATCCCCATCCCGCTACAGCCTCCCTCCAGTGAGTTGTGGGGAGCTACGAGGTCTCCCCCGGGCCTCCTCTTCTCCAAGCTGAACAACCTCAGCTCCCCCAGCCGCTCCTCACCTTTCTGAAAGCTAAAAATCGCTCCTAACCCGCAACACCCGTCTACAGGGCACGGGGAAGAGTCCTTTTCAACATAACGCTACTATTAACAATATTATTTATAGAAGAAAAGCGCCTAAAATAAACCCTTCCCACTGCCACCACCCCTGCCCGGACCTGAGACCGCGGGGCCAGCCCCGCCTCTGCCTCGCTGCCCTCACTGCTGCCCTTCTCCGCCACGGCGGCAGCAGCTTCCCGGCAGGCAGCACAGCGCCCGCCACCGGTCGCGGACTTTATTCGTCTCTGCCTGCGCCGCCCCCGCCCCTTCCTCCCTCCTTCTTCCCCTCCGCGCCTGTCCCTCCTTCCCTCCCTCCCTCCCTTCCCGGCCTGGCCCGGCCCAAGTGTCCGAAGGGGCCCGAAGGAGCGAACAGGCCCCGCGTCCCTCCTGCTCCAAGCGAGAGCCGGGGGGCCCTGCGGCGCCGCCGGCCCCAGCGCTCCGGTGAGCGGCAGCGGGCGGCGCCATGGCCGACAGGGCGCGGGCGGCTCTCTCCGAGTCGGGCTGGTAAGTGCGGCCGAGCTGGGCCGCGCCGCCGAGCGCGCCCTCGGGGTGACTGCTAGCGGTGGCCCGGGGGGGCCCCTGTGTTTGGGGCTCCGGCTCGGAGCCCGTGGAGGCGGCTGCGGGGAAGGGTCTGCGTTACCCCCGGCGCGCTCGGGGCCTGGCGAGGGCTCGCTCTGGGAGCAGCTCCCGGGCCCTCCCGGTCGCCCTGCGGGCAGGGCCGACAGCCCGAGCAGGGGGTCAGCCCAGACCCTTCCCTGGGTTGGCGGCGGCCTGCCCGTTCCTGCGTGCCTGCCCCGGGCCTGCTCTACCGGAAGCCCGGCGCTTGACCACAATGCTGTTGTTCATTACACTGTACGCCTCTTCAGCAAGGAGGGGAAGATGAAAAAGGTGAAGCTAATGTAAGGTAAATGAGGCACACGTGAGGCTTGAACTCGAGTAGTTGTGTTTTCTACTCAACCCTAATCGTTGGGCACACAAGATCTATTTTGGAACAACGTTTTGACGAGTTGTGCTTTTTAGATACCTACTGCAAACGCTTATCTGCTAGCCTAGAGGAGATTTTGTACTGTAGGAATTTGCTTTGTTTTGTTGGTTTTTTGTATGTTTGTTTACTGGTTAAAGTAACTTGCTTCTTAGTTGTCACTTTGACTTTTTTCTTTACCTACTTGGAAGTCTTTGACCAAAACAAAAGTTAATGCTAACTGTACCAAAGCACAGAGTGACAGACTTTGGATGTAATTAAGAAAAACTGCTCAAATTACACAAAGCAAAGTTATTGCCAGTGGTATTTTGAGGATGTTCCTGTTTTGCTGTTTGTGGGTCTCCTGGATTGTGATTTCATGTATGGCTAAGATGTAAAAAAATAAAGCAGATGTTATGTGATTTAGAATAAAAGAAGGATAGTTCATGTGGAAGGGGTCTATAACAATCATTTAGTCCAATTGCTTGACCACTTCAGGGCTGACCAAATCTTTATGTTATTAAGGGCCTTGTCCAAATACGTCTTAAGCACTTAAAAGGCTCGAGGCACCGACCACCTCTCTAGGAAACCTGTTCCAGTCACTCTTGTTAAAGAAATGCTTCCTAATGTCCAGTTTGAATCTTCCCTGACATAACTTTGAACCATCCCTGTCTGTCCTATCACTGAATATTAGGAAGAGGAGATCAGCACCTTCCTCTCCACTTCCCCTCCTCAGGAAGCTGTAGAGAGCAATGAGGTCACGCCTCAGCCTCCTTTTCTCCAAACTAGACAAACCCAGTCTTCAGCTGCTCCTCAAAGCATATGGCAGCAGCTTTGTTGGTGGCCTAGTGGTTAGCGTGCAGGACTTTCACTGCTGCGACCACGGGTTCGATTCCCCGGTCTCCTGGCCTGATGGAGCTCGTTAGCCCTGTGTGGCCATCCATCTATGAGAAGGACACTCTAAACAAACCTACATCCTGAGGACCTCACTGCCATTGTCCAAGCTTGCTTGGCCCCGGCAGATGAACCTTAGGATTAAAGGGTGGGCTCAGTTCAGCGCAGGCTGTGTCTCACCTAAAAAATCCATTGCGCAGGCTGGAAAGGTAAAAAGACCTTTCCCCAAATCTTCGTTCGCGAAGATGGGCCATTATATTTTATATATGTTGCCCTCCTCTGGACATATTCAAGGACTTTCACATAGTTTTCCAATGGTGTACACATTACTCCAGATGAGGCCACACCAGTGCTGAATACAGTGGGATAATCACCTCCTTTAACCAGCTGGTGTTGCTGTGTTTTTTAGCCCAACTTTTGCAGTGGTACTTAGTGATAATTATTATAGTGATAATACTGACAATGTCTTTAAGTCTGCTTCTTGGATAAGTGTATCCACTTTCAAAAAAACTGTCGTAAGTGGTTCCAGAGTGCACAATCCTGTGATTCCTGGCTATCACTGA